GCTTAGGCGGAAATTTTGACGCTTCGAAAAAAATTTTATCTTTAAAAATAAAATGCGCAGGGGGGTGGCTGATTTGAGAAAGAATGCCCCATATGTTAGTTTGTGTTTGCTCTGAGAAAGGCTCAAAAGTGAGCTGAAACATGTAAGCGCATTTAGTGAATAAAGATGTTTTATGCTTCATAGGTGTATTATTTGCGCGACGTCTTCTGTGCCTGACTTCTAACGCCCTTATTCTTTCCAATTTTTTCAAAAATATGTTTCTGTATTCGAGACGCTTACCCAGGTGGCAGTGAAGGCAAGATTCGAAAATCTCTGCAGACCGATACGGGACTTCCAATCTCGGGTAACTTGTCAGTCGTATTCGGCGAGCCCATAAGAGCTGATGAGGATGACGGAGAAGTTGAGGACGCGTCGCTAGTCCTCTCGAGACCAATCGAGGGTGATCGGCCGAGCAGCAGCGGCGTAGCGCTTCCTAAACCCAAGCATCGCATTCTCCACGCATCCTGCAGCAATTGTAACCGAGCTTGCTTTCTCCACTTTGCCCGTCTGTTTTGAAACCATACCTGTGGAAATGCCACTATCTTGATCATTGACTTATATAAATTTCATTCTCTCCCTTTTCCGCAAGAAGAGAAAATGACGAATGTTAGGATCGGGGAACATGAATTATCGTTGTGTCTGAATAAAAACAATCTCGAACGTATACGTAGTATACGTACATACGTATCTATTATGCTGTTTGTAGTTCGACTTGAAGATACGAATATTTACGATTAATTCGACTAATAATTCAGCTGCATAATAAAAAAATTTTTCGATTTTTCGAATATCATTAGTTGTCAGATAAGTTTTATTTTATTATTTCTACGTATCTAAAAAAAATGTAGATATTTCCCGAAAGTGATTGAGAATTGAGATCTATTTTTGATCTAAATAATAAATTTTACACAAATTCCAACTTTTAATCATTTTATAATTCAATATCGCAGTGAACAAATTATGGAAATATTGAACAATATGATATTATAAATATATACACATAACATAGCATCATGTATATACAATTATTTACTTAAAATTTGGCCATGTTGAACGTATACTTCGTGTTGTAATATTTCTGCATCATAATTTAGGAAGAAATGAGGGGATGTATGGAATAAAGGACGAATTACAAAATTTTGATAAAATTTAAAATAACTTACTATTTTTTATTATACACAAATGGATATAGTCGGATCAATTTATGTCTTTAAGAAGTTACATGTTGCAATACTTTTTTATTACAGTCAATATTATATTAAAAAAGGCTAAAAAGATCCTAAACAGAATCGTGCTTTTATTCCGCCCATCCCCTCAATTATGCATTTCTATAAGCACTTGTATAGATTAATTTGATATTCCTTTATGCACAATCATATATTTTTAATTATACACTACGCAAAAAAATTAAAGGATCACTTAAGTCCACCTCAAAAATAGGTCAAAATTCAGAAGAATGTAACTTCGTAAAAAATGATCATAACGAGATTTTTAAAAAAGCATTTTAAAGCTTGAAATCTCTACTTTCGAAATCGGTAATTGATATTTCGATCTGATTGATTTTTTACGTAGCTATACGAACAGAAATGGGTATCCGTCAAATCTGAAAATTTTATACAAATTTTACAAAAGTCTATGGCATGAACTAAAAATCGCACACAAATCAGGTTCTAAACAGTCGAAAGAGTGAATCTTTAACTTCAATTTGCTTTTTTATGAAACGTTGTACGATTTTTTTTCGACGAGTTATTCGACATTGAAGCAAAAATGACCCTTTTTATTCAATGACGAATAACTCGTCGAACAAAAATCGTACAACGTTCAATAAAAAAGCAAATTGAAGGTAAAGATTCACTCTTTCGATTGTTTGAAACCGCATTTGCGTGCGATTTTTAGTTCACGCCATAGACTTTTGTAAAATTTGTATAAAATTTTCAGATTTGACGGATATCCACTTCTGTTTGTATAACTCCGTAAAAAATCAATCAGATCGAAATATCAATTACCGATTTCGAAAGTAGAGATTTCAAGCTTTAAAATGCTTTTATAAAAATCTCATTACGACCGTTTTTCACGGAGTTCCTCTATCTTGAAGTTTGCCTACATCTGAACAGACGATTAAAAAATCATTTAAAATTGGTATTAAAAAGAACCAACATTAAAATTCATGAATCTCCGTGAAAAATGATCGCGGGACAATGTTTGATAATGCGTTTTAAAGCTTAAGACATAACTGTCGAATGATTCGAATCATATACCTCTGCAAAAATTTCATTACAAATGGCGCTAATTTAAATTAAACCTTATAAAATTGAAGAACAAATTTGTGTGCACGGGTAAAACAAATTTTTTTCTGCATGTTTTTTTAAGTGGACCGTAGAGCTTAACATTACCCACTTAAAATGATTTCTTAAGCATTACGCTACAATTTTTTTCACCGAAGTGTAACGATTTGAAATGAATAATGAATTTTCAGATCTTTCTCTGAACATTTGTATTGTTGCCGCCGGTATTAGCATTACCCGAGGTGTACCACGGGGAGGTTACGCGGTCGGACTTTACACCTCGTGTGTGTGTGTGTGTGTGTTTGCGCGCGCGCGCGTGTGCGTGTGTGTACATATGCATTTTCGTTAGCCAAAAACTGGTGGACTTGTACATGTTGAGACGTGACTAAAACCTAGTATTGCCACCTCTATTTTCAATAACGTCTTGCAAACGTTGTCTCATATTAATACATCTCCGTATTGCGAACTGCGGGATAGTACGCCAAATTTGACGGAGCGCTTCCGCTTATTGTCCCAAATTTTCTAATCGTGGATAATTCCGTCGTAATCGACGACCAACCATATCCCAAATATGCTCTATTGGATTGAGATCGGGACTCATTGGAGGATGATTTAAAACCGCAATATGGTTCTCTCTTAGAAACTGTCGCGTAATGTTTGCGGTGTGAGGACGTGCATTATCGTGCATTAAGATGAATCTGTTTCTTGTCTGATCACGAATTGGACAGATATATGGACGTAAAATTTCATTGATATATCTCCTAGCAGTCAATCCAGGTGGTGGTATAACAACCAATGGTGTTCGTGAATTTCGTGATATACCTGCCCAGACCATTACGGAACCTCCATAAAATCCTATAATTGGTCTATTACAATTCAGACGATATCTTTCGCCACGACGACGTCATACTTGTTGCCGTCTGTCATTCCCATAGAGAGAAAATCTCGATTCGTCCGTAAAAAGAACATTGCTCCATTGTCTTTGAATCCATCTGACATGACGATGTGCGTACGCTAAACGAGCACGCCGATGATAACGATTAAGCATAGGTACTTGCAAAGAACGATACGAACGCAAATGAGCATCTCTTAAACGATTTCTGATAGTTTGTGCACTTATCTGACGCACAGGTTGCTGCCTACGATTTTGAATACCGCTAGCAATTACATTTGCATTAGTAAATGGTTCTGCACGGGCGTGTTGAACAATAATCTTATCTTCTCTAGGAGTAGTTACACGTCTTCGACCCTGTCCTGAGCGTCGCTGACATTCACTGGTTTGACTGGTTTGACTTACTCCTATCATATTCGCAACATATCGTTGGCTGTGGCCTTCTTGCAAAAGAGTGACCAAGTGCATTACTTCCAATTCTGTTAAATGTCGTCGCGGCATTGTGAACATCAAAATCTTAAAAATATCAAAAGTATCAAAGAGGTAATAAATTGAAAATATTGTCAAATAAGAGAAAAAGTGCGATAAAAAAAGCATGAGTATTACTTCTCCATACCGATTTCTCTATACATACGCTCTAAAACCGATCGGAAATAGCAG